TTCCCAACACACGTGTTTGAGCGTTTGTCTGTTTGTGATTTTATATCCCATTTTTGTCGTCTTGTGCTTATATAGTCCTAAAACGTTTGCCAAACCGCAGCTTAGTTACATGAGATGGAATAACTTTTACAAACTAAATTTTTTTTATCAAAAAATTATTTATAAAATGCAGTTGGTGGTTGAGATTATTATAAATGGAGGTGCCATCACCTAAGTATTAAATCTAGACCATTTATAAATTTTCTAAGTAAAATTGTAAGTTTGGATTCTAATTTCATAATTTTTTCTCATGATTGATATGTATTGAAATGTAGAAGCTCAAGCCACCATTATAAGCAAGCTCAATTATAGTAGCTTTATTACAAGGCCTTATAATGCATTGGCATTAATACACTACATTTATGACAAAGAAAATCTAAATTATACTGATTTTTTTATATAGGTAAAAGGACAATACATGGTGGACAGAGTGTGGACGTGGTTTCAACCGCCCACATTAAGTGACTTTCTTGATGATGAGGGTGGGACATATTTTTACGTAAATTACGTGGCCGAGTGGCCGAGATGGTTAGTGGAGGTGTTATGTGGGTGAATTGTGGTGCTGAGATATGGTGCGATAATATTAGAATTTGAGATATTTGGATAGAGGATTAGAGTTTTAGATGACATCAAATTACCTATTTGGATAGAGATGGGATTCTAGAGGCAGATCATCTTAATCTGAATAGTGTGAGTTGTGATAAATGTTATCTTTGTAAAGGATAGAGTCCCATGAAGTAAGACTTCTAGAGGAAGTTGGACATTGATCATTATAAAAGTAAGGCAGCCTCGTGGGTCTAAGGTATTCTTTAGGGTTGTGCTTCAGACCCCCAGTGACGTGGCGCACTGGGGTTGGCCGAAAATCAAAAAAAAAAAAAAAAAAAAGTTTTTTTTGGTCCAATAGGAGCCGACCCCCAGCACCCCCAGCTGGGGGTCTAAGGCATTTTTGTATGCTTTATTTGAGATGCTTTTTATGCTTTGACTTGTGAGTTGAATACTTGATTTGATATCTTTGAGAGATTACTGACTTGATCGTTGGAGTGTCCCCAAGTGGACGAATCACCGCGGTATTCTCATCTTCTTGTTGGCAGGTGTTGGACTTAATCTGGTGCTCTCTACCTGAGTTCCCCCTTTAATTATGTGGTCGGAAATCAACACGCACACTCAGACCAAATAAATTTCATTTCATTATGACACATTATCAATATTCATTATACCATCTTATGCAGTTTGGCTATAACAGCAATCTACTGATGTTTTTTTTAATCACAAATGATAAGTGTTCTTTATACATTAATATTAGAAGATGTATATAAAATATTTTTAAAATACATAAAAATATTAAAAAGTATATTAATTTCAACAAAAGTATATTAAGTAAAAAGTGTCTTGTATTCTTTAATTTTTTTTGTCATTTAGTTGTCCACTAGAGACACTTATTTGTAAAAAAAAATTTAATTATTAATTTCATAACAAAAGTATGCATGTAGCCAACTAAAACAATGAGGAAGTTTACATTTATACAAGTCAAATAAAAATCAAGCTAAAAATATCTACAAAATAAATAAGATTTTCATATGTCAAAAATTTATTAAAATGATGTGACAATAATATTTTTACAATTATAAGCAATAACAGTAAGTATTCTAAAGTGAAACATAAAATCGAAAGTCACTTCTTGAACCTTCAGTTGTCTTCAATAATATTACACTTGTATTTTCGTAGCACATTAGTATCTCATATTATAATATATAAGAGTTTTAAAGATTAAATTTTTTAGTTTTTAAAAATAAAAATTTTGTTGCAAAAGACATTTGACTAATTTCTATCATCGTAAGGATAGTCGCTAAAAATGTCACTAATAAATACACTTTTAGAGACAAAATAATTTAGTCTCAAAATGATTTATTTTTTGATATACAAAATTTTGTCCCAAAAAGATAATAATTCATCACTAATATCTAATTTTCGTTACTAAAAATTTAATAACAACACTTTTCGCAAAAATATTTAATTTCTAAAAAATAATTTTATTCCTAAATTTTAATCTCTAAAATCTTGATTTTTTGTGGTGTCATCTTATCGAAATTATTGATATAATGTGGGTTCTACGTAAGCTCCACAAATATTCAAATGGTGCGAATGTGCCAGATGAAGTGGTGTGAAAAATGTGATATGAAAAAATAGTATGTGTGATATTATTGAATTATCTTATATTTAGGCCAAGTTTGGGAAGATCCAAAAAAGTTAAAAAGTCAAAAAGTTATTCAAAAAGTTAAAAAGTTAACACTATTCACCAAAAGTCAATAATTACGGTTGCACAACTCCCAATTCAAATTTTTCCATTCAAATTTTTCCCTACAAATCAATTTTTACAATTTTTTATTACACATTTTTCAATAAAAAGTCAAAAAGTTAACCCAAACATCCATATTTTCAACCTCAATTTTTTAGTCCAAAAAGACAAAAAGTGCACTTTTTTAGTCTTCCCAAACTTGGCCTTAGACACCACAAAACTCAATAGAGCCACAAAAAATCTATGTTTGGTTTGAATTTCTAGAGTGATTTTGGGAAAAAAAATTTAAAAAATTTGTTTGGTTTGTAAATTTTTCAAAATAATTTTTAAAATCACTTTCTCTCTCTTACTTATCAATCAATCACTTTTTCTCTCTCATCTCTCTTTTTCAATCACTTTTTCTCTCACACACATCTACTCAATTATAACAAAACATCAAATCATTACAAACTCTCAAACTCCAAAACTACTTTCAAAATACATAATCAAACAAACTAAAAAATTTTTTTAAACTTTTTCTTGAAATAATTTTTAAAAACTATTCTCCCAAAAACAAACCAAACAAGCTCTAAATCTCATAGTTTTATTCAAGAATACTGATATAAACATTTTCACTCGCGGTTGAAACTCAACACATGACCAGAGTGATTGAGTTGACTAGAAAGAATTGACATACACCACTCCTAAAATCATGCTTATAATTGCACTTATAATTATGACACATAATTAGCAAATGGACCAAAATCAAGAGAAACTTTCTTATAACTCACATAACCAATAACTACAATATATAAATGAAAATAAACCATGAAGTAAGGGATCTTAATTATCTTTTAGGTTTCTCTCATCATTATTGAGTATCTTGAGATTATTAAAGAAAATACTAGACATTAAACTTGAGTGTTAAGGCCCCGTTTGTTTCACTGGATATAAAATAAAGGATATAATATGATGTGTGATTTAGTCAGGATATATAATGAATAAGATATAGGTATTGGATAGTATATTCCCCAAGTCATGTTTGTTGACTTGATATATAAGATTGGATATATGTTATGCATGTTTGTTTTATAAAATATATAATAATTATATTATATTAAATTCAAAAAAATATATTAAATTATATTATGTTAGATAGACAAAAGGGTAAATTGGACTTTTTACATCATATCCCAACCAAGGGGATATGATATAATGGGGGAGGTGGTATTGTATATTCTCCACTTTTGGGGGATATACAATTCCACCGGATATTATATCCCTTTTAAAAAAAATTACAAATATGAAATATATAGACTCTATCAGATATAATATTTAATCTCAATCTTCATATCCCTCAATCAAACACGGCCTAAAAGAGGCTTGGATCGTCACCACAACAGTGCCACACTGATAGTTTTTGTGCCTCGTACAAGCGATGGACGGATATCTATCCAAGCCATGTGGAGAATTGCATCAACAAATACCATACCTATATTTTAAGTGACAAACAAGTGATCACTTGTATGATCCGTATTCCCATTGATCTTGAAGTTGACAAGACCATTTTTGCAAAAAAATCACTTTTATTTTTTCAAAAATTCGCAAGATAAAATAAAATGAGACTATGTTTATTCTCCTCACTGTTTATTTGGCACGAAACCTTTAGGCCCCGTTTATTTTGGGAGATAAAATGGAGGGGATTGATAGTGAGGGGATTAATAGTGAAGGGGTTGTTAGTGAAGGGATTGATAATGAGGAATTGTTAAATTATTTTTATATAAAATAATAAAAAAATATAAAAAATTAAACATTATATTTAAAAAAAATTCCCAATATATAAAAAATAAAAAATTTCTAATCCCCTCACTATTTTCTAATACCATCTCTACCTCTTCCTTAGCAATCCCCCTTCCAAGGGTATTAGTAATACCAAGGGACTAATAATTCCAAGACTATCTCTGCAAATAAACAAGGATATTAGTAATACCTTGGTATTACTAGTCCCAATACCGTCCCTATAACCTAAAACAAACGAGGCCTTACAGTATTGCTCCATAACTTACCGTGTTTAATTCATCAAAAACTTTTAGATGGTGGATTTTAGAGACAAGTTTTAACTACAATTTTACTCACCATACCAATTACTTTTCTCATTTCAACATTGTAATTCGAAATAGTTTACAAACACTAAGGTCTCGTTTAGGAACATATTTTTTTAGTAATTTTTTGATTTTTTTGCTAAAATATGATGTAAAAAAAAAACTAGTATATTTAGGATGATTTTTTGACTTTTTACGAAAAGATGCGCAAAAAATAAAGAGAAAAAAGAATTTTTAACTTTTTGGTATGAGTTGTTGAATTTTTGATTTTTTTAATGACTTTTTGACTAAAAAAGTCACTTACCAACGAGGCCTAAAGGACCTAAAATTAATTGTAAAAATTCAATATAACAGTGATATTACATTAACACCAACCTTCAATTGAAAAAATCGGCCTTTAAAATCGGCAGCTTTAAGTTTTTTTTTTTTATCTCCAAAAGTAAGTTTGACTTTGGCCAAACAATGAAAATAAAAGTTCACAAAAATGAAATCCATCATCAGATGGAAAATATTGGTCATCCATTTCCTTTTATATTACAAAGAAAATGAAACCCTCTTATGTGTAAGATAATAATTTGGTACTAAAGCGATTAAGTAAATCTATTCACATACACATTTCAGTGTCACTGATCCAAAAGAAGAAACATACAAAAAGAAATGACCTTTTTTTCTTCTCTAGTAATTCTTAACTGTAATTAACTGTTCTCTTGTACAACAGAGCCAAAAATAGATCCTTTATGTGATCTTTTAATAACTGTGTAATCTATACAACAACCATGCCCCATCTTTAAGTGCGTTGCAAGAGTATCTGTACCATACTCTTTCCGGTCATTGATTTTGATAACATAACAATATGATGAAGAGTGGGATAGATGATCTTACTCCTCTTTTACTACCATTTACAACAAAGTAAGCAGGCTTCCGGCTTTCATCTCTGCTCTCTCTGAATTGTTTCTCACCAACCAAAATCTGCAAAAGCAAAAGCAGCAGACATTTGCCAAGGAATTTAAAAATAGGAAAAGAGAAACAAAAGGTATATTATTTTGGACTTTCTATACAGTTATTCACTAATATATTGGCCGATACTGTCTGTTTTGGAGATGGACCGATGTTTAATTGTATGTTCACTGATACTGAACATATCCCGATACATGTTCGATATTACATACCTTAAGAGTCAAGAAGATATGGTGTTTTGAGCAGATCATAAGGTGCCCAGAGAGCATCCAAAGGACATGGGCAGTTCGCATCGAGTCTCACCCACGGCTTCCCCTTCCCACTCCAATGCAGAAGGCTTACCGGACCGAGGTGCAAATCTCGACAAAGTCCCCGGAAATTATCTCCTCCGAGCCCATGTTGGTTCCACCTATGATCCACCGGAGCAATATTCCCGGCAAAAACCAGCAAAAATGGCGGTAAAGAACCCAATTCATAAATCCTCATTCTCTTCTGCAACTCCATCCATTCGACAATCTTCCTAGTATAGTCCCCATCTCTCCATCTCTCGAGATCAATAACCATCACACCCGTGTTGAAATAACAGGCTTTTCGATCCGTAAATGTCGAGGAAAGAGATGGGTTGGACCAAAACGACGGCGTAAAGTAGGACGTGAAGTTGGCGTTGCAGTACTCCGGCGCGGCGAGGACGCGGCGCCGGAGCGGCGTGGCGGCGAGTTTGGCGATGTCGTCGACGAGGACGAGGTCGGAGTCAAGGTAGACGATTTTTCGGACGCATTCGGGGAGGAGATCGGCGAGGTAGTTGCGAGCATAGTTGAGAGGGGAATCGAGCGCCGCCCGGATGGAGGTGGAGATGAGGCCGGCCACAGCGGCCGTGTTGAAGTGGTAGAGGCGGAAGTTGAGGGAAGGGAAGGATTGGGAAATGGTGAGGCGGAGGAGGCGGTGGTGGCGGGTGGCGGCGGAGGCGGTGGTGATGAAGTGGAAGTGGGTGTTTTCCGGGCAGGAGGAGTGTTGGAGGACGGAGAGAACGGCGGCCATAGAGCCGCGGAGGTACGTGGCGTCAAGGGTCATTGCCACGTGTACTGCATTATCTGAGCAAATTGAATAAGTGTTTGTTTCAGATTGTGGAGGACAAATGGGGGAGTTGTAGAACTGAGGTGCTTCTCTGAATTGCTGTTGAGAGGAGGCTGTGTTTGAGAGAATTAAGAGGAGAGAGGTGATGATGATAATTGGTGTGGGCATCATTTGGGGTGCCATTGCAAAGAAAAGTTGCTCAAGAGTTCATATTTAGGTCGGCCAAGTCTTGGTGTATATTCACTTTGTGGAATTATTTGAACTTCTAATAATTCAGGCCTAGCTTTATTAATCCTACTCTACTTCAAATAAATGGTGTGTATTTTTTTTAGAAATTGTTATTATAAATTAATAAATTTTATAATTTTTTGTTACTTCTTAATTTGGCACGTAACCATTTTCAGACATGTAAATGTCAGTGAGGTGAGATGTCATATTTAAACAAATTAAGTGATCAATTTCTCATAGTAATCTAACTCTATCGATTTACTAACAAACATCCTAGTGTATGGCCACAGAAAATATAGTGCACCTATGTATCACGTCATTGAATTTAACTCTACTTTTTTTTTTTCCTCTTTTTCTTTTTTCTTTTTTTATAAAATTTAACTCTACTAACATACTAACATCTTATTATGTGGTATTGTGGCACCTCTCTATCTATTTATGAAATGGACTTAGAGCCCCTTGAGTTCGCCATCTGGATTGAAGGTGTGTGAGTAATTTTCTGATCACACTGCCCGTTTAATAATCAGTTAGAGAGCATTGGCAGAATAGATGGCTTCAGTTAACCTGTAACAGAAAGAAAAGGCTCCGGCGGTGGCTCTTCCACCCGAGGGCACTCCAATGATCAAGTCAGTATATCTCTCCAAAATAATCAAGTGCTAAACTCACTACTTAAAGCATAAATTGCATACCTTAGACCCACGGGGTGCCTCTCTTTTATAGTTTACTTAATCCTAGTCCCACAAGAAGCCTGACTTCTATGGACTCCAATTTAGTACTTACTTTGGACTCTTCAAGAGATAAAGATAAACTCCCTAAGAGCTTTATCAGCATCTTAACTAAGTCTCCTATTTATCCTACGACTCTTGTCCCTTATCTTTTATCCTCTTATCTCGGATTCCGATATCTTCGGAGATAACCTCGGCATCACAACCAGGGCACGTGGCACCTCGGCTGACACGTCGGCGTCACCTTGCCATGTGTTAGTACTCATAAAATATATCCCCACAACTGCCTCCTAGGTTCTATTACCTCAGCATTCTAAGGTAATGGAACCTATATCATTCCGTTCTTCCAGTACGTCGGTTTTCAGTACTTCAGCCGAGATCATTATTTTGGCCGATATCCTTTTATTGAAGAACAAGAATTCCAAGAACCCTTTCATGCGTATGAGCTGTCATACACCATAATTCAACCGTTTCTAACCACGCGTTTCTTTCTCACTGATTCGTGCTTGTGACGCGCCCGTAAGCCGTCTCTTTCTCACGTGCGCCGTCTGACGTATGCGTTCTTCTAAGTGTATTGATTACTTTTTTGCCGCCGTTTTCATTTTTGACAAAATCTTTCCCCCTTTCTTCACTTTTCACTTTTGCATTCGATTTCTCTGTGCTTTTTCTCTCTCTAGCTCCTGGATACGCTATTGTTCCAGTATTCAAGCTCTGCAACTGTCTTCCGTTCTCCCTTCCTATGAAGCTTTTGTCGTCCCCGTTACATCTATAACTGTCGTCTGACTTCGGCAATCTTCATACCGACTTCATATTTTCTGGTAAGCAACTGCTTTCTTCTTATTCCAGTTTTTGATTTTTTCTAGAATTTCTTATTTATTACTGCTTTGCTCAAATAATCAATTTGTAAATCATACATCTGAATGCGTTGATTTCGCTTTTTGCTTATGCCTTGAACACATGTACTGTTCATAGTTCTTCTTGCACGCCTTGCCACTGTTCTTGGCCTTCAACCCTTTGTATTCTTCATGTTCTTGATAGTCCATCTCTGTTCTTGATTATGAAACTTTGTATTTGTTTTCTGTTTTTTGTATCTTTTCCAGATCTGTGCCTTTGATCTTCATCTTCATAGCTTTAGGTTTGGGATTTGTTTGTAGAACCCACGATTTAGGGCAAAACTGAAACATTCCTTACAAATTTCTGAA